AACATGCACTCATATTATCTCAAGGATCATGGGATCCTCAAAAGCCTCTATTGGAAAATCGGCGAGTGGGTCATCACTACTATCCTCATTTAGGGGGGGGGGGGGGTATGAAAATGGGTGAGTTCCGTAAAATTCAGTAAAGAAAATATTATTTAAACAACATTACTAAGATTTTAAAGGTATTTAAATTTTAAAAAAATATACCGTTAACCGGTTATTGTCGAAGATCGTTACATGTGAGTCCATTTCAATGATAAAGAAAATATTTTTATTTTTACTTAGAAATCATTAACATCAAGACATTTACATCAACCATAAATAAAATAGAGAAAATAAAACAAACATGAATCACACTATGACCTTTTGTTTCATCTTTTACTTATTCTTCGCACGAAGCTGTTCTAATCTATATCTACTGAGGGTAATACGAATTTCTGACTACCACTATGGAATGATAAAGTTCTTTTCATCTCAGCACATTTATGGCTTGCTAAACTACAACATATTTACAGTTTGCAAAACCACAGCATATTTATGGCTTGCCAAACCATAACACATTTACGGCTTGTCAAACTATAGCATGCTCAATGACTATGACCATGCCGACCACAATGGTCCTACATGTAAACTATAGCCACGATTGTATGTCGCTACAATGACCCTATATCGCGTAATCACTCTCGCTAGAGAATATACCATCATCTACAGGGAGCGGTCATCTCACGTCTTTTCAGACCAGATAGAGGAGAAACAAAACCCCTCAAAGATACAAAACCCCTCAAAAATAATAACCTAACGGATTATATCATTGTAAATGTCATGCATTAACATTACGATGTTATGCCTACATGTCCATTTTCACAAAATTTCTATGCAAAAATTATGATATCTCATGCATCACTAATATTCCATTAAGTCAAATCATTTAATAATTTGATTTTTCAAACTAAAACATGCAATCACTAATTCACATCAATCATGCAAATATTCAAATTAATTTTTTTAGAAATACTCCTTAGAATGTATGAGAAAATACCAAGATTTTCCTTACTAAAAGTTTGAAGAGTTCTTACGTTCTTCTTCTTTCCTTTCATTCTTTTGCCAAGTGGTATGAATTCATGAGGAGAGAGGGAGAAAAAGTTAATCGATGCAACACGACAACTGATGGACGATAGACGAGACGACGACAACGCGACAACTCAATACAAAGACCGCCAGCCAAGCGGAAAATTTTTTTTGCAAGGTTTTCTCTGCTGTTTTTTCTCCATTTTTCCTGAAAACTTAAATTTTAGTTATAAAATCTCATAAATAAAATAATTTTAAGTAAATTCTTAAAATATACAAAATTAAGACATCAAATTAAATAGTTAATGGGCTTAGCACCTAAATAAATAGGAGTTTTACACAACCACATTTAAGCACGAAGGTGCCGAGGTGTTGTAGAGGGGGCTTAAAAATAATTATAGAAATAACCGGACATAAGAATGATCGTAGTTGAAGAATTAACTACATGCCAATTATGAAATTGATCATTGATGCAATAATTAATTTTTCTAAAGTACAGCAAAACAGTTCTAGTTGTTAAAAACGTTCCAACAATTGATTATTCCTTAATCCTAAACCAATCAAGAAACGTTTATTAGTTGATTCTTGTTAATAGATAGTCTTGAAAATGTTCCTACAATTTAATCTATCAACAGCCTTGAGAATCGAAAAAATTTGGTTCTAATTGTCAGATTCAACTGTGTGAATCGCTCAACTAGATCGCTTATCCTTCTTAGTTCAAAGACTAATTTACCACTTGGTGCTAAAGCAATCCAAATAATTACAAATTTAGAATATTTTGGCTGGTAGCATGCCACTGTGTCTCATGCCTAACAAGCTATGTTCAAGTAGTTAACAACAATAATAATAATATATACAGAAAAATGAACAAATGCTAAACTTTAATAAAATCATAATTAAGGCAATTAGATCTCATAATATAATAAAATTTTGTAAAATCCATAGCCAGGAAAAGACTATCAGCCACTCATGGTGGTTTAGTACAGAACAAAGTTTTTATGATTATTGGAAAAAGAATGAAGAAATTTTCAGAAAGCTGTAGGTCGTGCAGCAGCCAAGATGCCCTCTTCTTTCATTTCAGCTCATTTTAAACCCTAAAAGGATTAAAGTTTCCTTTTTCAGAGATTGGGATCTTTTCTAATGATTTCAGCTTCCTTCTAGCATCCTAGAATCATCTTGTCTCTGATTTTCAGTTTTCTCTTGTATCTGCAAAGGGATTATTCTTTAATTATAAAAATGCGTCTTTTTCTTTCAAATATGTCGTTGCATCTTATCTTAGCCTTTGTTGAGGCTTAGTCAAGTGTAAGTTAGCTCTTCCCGTGCCATCATGATGTTAACTGTGCCCAAGAGTTACCTGTGCATTGATCGATTTTTTATTTTCACGGAATGTAAGCCTTACACAAGGCTTAGTTGTGTGTACCTTAGACCCATAACCCCTATTATGCATTAGCCTTGCCCGAGGTTTGATCATGTGTGCACCAAAGTTTGTCATTGCTGTAGGGGAGGCTTATACCATAACTAACAGTTGTTTTATAAATATATGTTATATAATTTTCTTATTTATACTGTTAGAATATTATAAAATATTCTCTATACATAATAATATGATTATCTTTTCAAATATGTAAGCTTAATTAGGAAGAAAATAATTAGGATAATTTATATTGATTATTATATATGAATCCGCCTACATTTATATATATCTTGACTTTTATTTCAATAAAGATACAAGAATTATTCAGTATTTTTCTTCCCTAACCATTTACATATATAAATGATATATATACACATACCAAAAGAAATTACCAAAAACTAATTTTTAATCTATTACCAAAACAAGCCTCCATCTTCATTCCTCCAGTCAATCAGTGACTCTAAGTCATTTTCCTCTTCTTCTTCACTCCATCATCATTTGTTATCAACTCGATCATGCATGGAACATCTACATCTACATCTACAAATTTACTCCTCTTCTTCATCTTTAGTTAACTGTGTATGTATTTGTTTTTACTCTTGAAGGCTAGGCTCTAACAACCACTAGCAGCTGCATGTATGCAAATATAGAACCTTAATGAAAATATGATTGAGGCAAATACAAGTTGGATAATTTGTAAACCTGCTACAACTAAAAAAAGCAAGAAAAATCAAACCCCACCTC